GTCCTTTTTGACATACTGACTTTAAGGTGTTGGTAAAACTTTCTTATGAGTCTGACCAGCAGAAGAGAAATGGAGCAGACTATAGACTCAAGAGATACTCCCCCATCAAAATAAGAATCAAAGCCACACTTTGATTAGGAAGAGAGTACAGAGGGAGAAGATAATTAAAAGACAACCATGTGAAAGGCTGCACAAAATGGGCAAAAAAGAGGAAATAAGTGTCATAAAAGGAGATCTGGCTGGGCACGGTAGCTCACGCCTGTAATCCTAGCACTTTGGGAGGCCGAGGCGGTTGGATCACTTGAGGTCAGGAGTTCAAAACCAGCCTGGTCAACATGGTGAAACGCCATCTCTACTAAAACTCCAAAAAAAAAAAAAAAAAAAAAAATTAGTCGGGCATGGTGGCGGGTGCTCCTGTAATCCTAGCTACTTGGAAGGCTGAGGCAGGAGAATCACTTGAACCTAGGAGGCAGAGATTGCAGCGAGCCAAGGTCACACCACTGCACTCCAGCCTGGGTGACAGAATGAGACTCCATCTCAAACAAACAAACAAAACAAAACAAACAAACAAAAAACGAGATCCGGGAGAAATCAGAGAAAATAGAATAATTCAATGCAAGTTGAGAAGGCTTCTTTCATTCAGTATCTGTTGTTGAGCAAATATTACAAGTCAGACTTCATGCTCAATACTGGGGATGAAGTGGCGAACAGAACAGAAAACCTCTGCTCTCACAGAGCTCACAATTTCCCAGGACATGTTGGTAAACAGCAAGAAACAACCCAGTGAGTTCAGTAGGATATGAATTGAGAAAAGGCCCTCAGGAACTTTAACCAAATGAATACTTTTGGAAAACAAATGGGTGATTCAATGCCCAAGGGTGAATTAATTTATAATAATGGGTGCAGTTGTAGAATTTTAAAAGATTTTTCAGACTTGCAAAGGCTCCTTGAACAAATAAGATACTCATCTTCCCACAACCCCCTCCCCACCTCACACATTAATCTACTTGAAATAGTCACTAAGAAGAGAGGCTATTTAGTAAGAAACACATTCTGCTATGTATTATTGAAAAGCAATATTATTCACATGTTCTGGAAAAAGTGAGAACACGAAAAATAAATAAAAGGACAAAAAATAGTAAGGGCTTAATAATTTAAGCCCAGAAATATTTCTTCAAAACAATCAACCACTGTCTGGTCTACAATTCTGCAGAAATCTTGCATACATATTTTATATTGCATGGCTCATTAATTTCCAAACCATCCATAGCTTTATTTTATGAGATGGCATAAGCTTTAGGCCTGGGGAGAGAGGGTGGCTGAATTTCAACACTTCATCCTATCATTTGTTTAGTACACTCCTTACATTTATATGACATAAAGAAAATAAAATAATGAATGTATGATGAAAAACTTTTCACGGATTCAGAATAAATGGATTTTTCAATATTACCCTTGTGGAATTACTAATTTGAGTTTGCCTTATCTTTAATAAACACAAAACTTAAGCCAAAGCCATGATACATCCATCAAATGACAATTCAAAATTGAAGAGATTTTTTTTACTCTACTATTGAAACATACATTTTCCTCCTCACTTTTAGTTGTAGATTACATCACATAACATCTGCCATCCCTAAGTTAGATGGCACAAATTAAGGACACCAATGAATAATTTTGTAGGTTTTTTTTTCCTCTGACCTTATTTCTGATTATCTTTCAAACACACAGCTGAATTATCAACTCCCTCTTTCTCCCCACTGTTAGCAGGATTACCTCGCAGGAGTGCAAAATAATGGGATTAGACAATGAAATAAAAAATGTATTTTGGTCAGGCTTTGGGTTTAACATGGAAGCTGGCGGGGCAAAAGTGAGCACTCTAATTTGTAAGAAACCTTCTCTACTTGTATGTACTTACACACAACTCACCCATTTTCTGTCCTCTCTGGCATTAACAATGTCAATTACAGTGATTTACAGGTGGTGCTCATCAGTTAGCATATTAGGTGCTTTTACTTGTTGAGAAGAGTGTATGGAATGAACTTTTTAAACTAAATTATAAAGTTTCAGAATTGCAACTCGACTCTGTTCTGTCATTTCCAACATTTCCTCTCTACTTTCCATTCATATAGTTTCATCCTTTGCCTTTCAGTAAATCATTTTTCACAGTGTTCTATCTCCAAGTCAGGTAATAAAATACACACACACACACACACACACACACACACACAGACTCACACTTCTCCAATTTCCGATTTCTCTATCATATACATACATTTCTCTCAGCTAGAGCTTCCAGTTAAATTTTGCTTAGATTCCAGATAAATCATCTTATAAACCTCCATCCCAGAGATATATATTCAAGGAAAACACTGTATCATAGTACAAGATAGTTTGGAAGTTATATAAACAGCCTACTTATTGGAAAGAGAACAAGATATCAGGACTATTATTTTAAAACAAAAATGGAAGATAGAGTTTAAGCCTTTAAAAATCATCCTTTCTCATCCCAGGATTAGTAAAGACCACCCTATATCTGATCACGAGTAAGCAAAGTACTTATGCATATGTTTGGTGAAAATAATATTACATATTTGGGGATCAGTCTCTAATATTAGCTTTGAAGCAATATCAACAAGAATAAAAATGATAATCCAAACTATTTTTTCTTTATTCTTCCCATCATATGACAACTAGCTAAAAATTTGTGAATACAATTCAAGAAACAGGTGTCAAATCAATTCTCAGCCAGAAAACTAATCACTTTGGTCTCACCTTAGCCAAAGTATACATCAACATATTTCTGCTCTCTAAATAAACAGTGAACACTTGCTGATTCTGGAGATAGCACTAAACGGTTTGCTTTTTTAAATGTATAGTACTCCCCAGGTGTGACTTCAATTTCATTTCTCATTTATAGTGATTATGGCCACCTATGGCCCTGTGCATACACTAGACATGCTGATTCAATCCCCATCCAGTTGCTGGAAGAACAGGCACAGTCAAAAAGCTGTGGTCACTGAGGAGCCAAGCAATGCAAGCCTTCCAGTTCCGGAGACGACATTCCTGCCATCTGCTCCAGCCTTGAGTTCCCTGGGCTGCCATGTGTGTGAATGAGTCTCTAGTACGACAACTAGCCCTCTACCCTATGTTTATTCTAAAGAACTGCAAAGACAGAGACCCTACGAACTCAACTCAACACCCAACAACTACTCAGCCCTCTACACTAAACACGCCACTCAGGAAACATTTGATCTCTTAAAGACTGTAAGTATTTCTCACAAGAGATATTCTACATATGCTTGGCTCATAATGAGTGGGCATCTCCAGGCATAAGTGAAAACAGAACTAAATACAGTTACAAGTCAAATGTGGGGCATTACAGGTGATGTTCATATTACCTTTTCCAGTCCAAAAGGATTAAGACTGTTCTCTTTAAAATTTCGTATTCAGGTGAGACTAGTGTCCTCCCAGTTACAATGACCTTAACTTTTGGAGTGAAGAAAAGAAAGGGAGGGTGTTCATTTCCATTTCTCATGGCCATACATTCGAATGATTGACTCAAGTTGTTGAGGTGACTCCATTTCCCTGAGTACTAAATAATACAGCGAGTGGAAACACCTCTTTCCTTGCAAGTTTGCAACCCTCAAGTCCAAGTTTTTCACCCTCTAAACCCAAACTATGCTATAGCCATATGTGACCCCTTAGCTTATGTAATCCGGGAGAGGTCCAGTATCACTCTCATGTGCCCCAAAATCACTTCCATTCTATTTCTGGCTCCTGTAAAATACTCTGTACACATCAAAACCACCTAATAACAAATCGATGCAACCCAAGACTCTTTGTGGGAGGGCATCGTCCCCTATTTCTCTATGGATCCCACCAAACAGCAAAACATTTCTCCCTGCTTTCGCAGAACGCACGTTTCTCTGAAAGCCAAGATTCTAACACAGTGCCCGATACCTTTCCAAGGCTGTACTGTATATAAATTATTTCCAAGTGTCACTGAGGACCATTTTCTCTGAACACACTAAACTGAAGCTAGCCATAAAACAAGCCATACGCTCCGGCTGAAGAATCCGACATGGGCAAGATAACCGCCAGTATATTACCAGGGGACAAAAATACAATTGTAATGAAGAAACGTTTGGAGGCGTAAAGGAAAAGTGGAAGGAGACGATCAATACTATTTCAGCTCATTAATCCCCAGGTGTTAGGGGAAGGAAGCGTGCGGTCTGGAGTCATCTGGCAGATGCATAAACAACCTCGGAAATTTTCAGAGAAGGCAAAAGTACGCACAGGATCGCAGGGGACCCTGCCACCGGCGAGTTTCAAACACACTTCAAACATCTTTTCTTCCCCGACCTGGATCTTGCATGCACCCCCCTCTCCTTTGCACCCCATGCCCGCCGCTCCCACCTCCCCTTCCCAGTCCCGCCAGGTGACTATGTCTCATGCAGCGAAGGCAACAAGCGTCCCTAGCCGAGGAGGGGAAGGGGCAGCCGTCTCGGCTCGCGAGGGAAGGAGGGCGGAAGCGGGCGCCCGCTCGCAAGCTTATTGCATCCTACCGCCTGTGGAGCTGGCCTCCTCCAGCTGAGCCGAAATGCTTTCCACTCTCCTCACATTCATGTCTGGGGACGCAGGGTGCAGGAGTGAGACTCGGGAATCCACCGGCCAGGGGCGTCTGTCGACGGGTCTGCACGGGAGCGCACCGCCGCTCGGCCCGGGGGCGTCCGTGGAGCTGGGAGAGAGAGCTTCGGCGGCGGCGGTGGCGGGCAGGGCGCGCGGAGCCGGCTGCAGGTGCAGGCGGAGGCCGGCGGGGGGCGCCGGGGGCGCTGCGCGGCCCTTGGCGGCGGGGGCGCGCGGGGCGCGCGGGGGCGACCGAGGCGCTGGCAGCTCGGCGACAGCGGCTGGAAGCGGGGGAGCTGCACCGGCGGCTACAGTGCGGGGACCCCAGCCCCTCGCCCGCGTGGGCGCCGCCCCTGCCACCTGCTGCCGAGTCACCGGACTGGGGGGTCCGGGGGGGGGTTACGGGGATGGGAAAACGCAGCTGGTGGTGCGGTGCCTCTGGCGACAGAGCAGATGGACCTGAAAGAGACCCGAGGTGACTTCGGGCTGGGCAGGGCACCCCCGGGAGTTGCCAGCGGCTCTCAGTGGACGCCTCTAGGACCCCTTGTCACTGCGAGCAGCGCCTGCTCTGGGGAGGGCTCGAAGGCGCCGCGCCTTTTCAAAGAACGCCGCTGCGTCCCCCAGGGGCTCCAACTCGGACAGCTAGACTGGAAATACTGGTGCCAAAGTTAGGCTGAGTTTGAAGGACACCAGAGGGGAAGCGCAAGGAGATGCCCTTCTCCCGAGCCGGGCAGAGCGCCAGGAACTCCTAGACAGGAAACTTCCCATTGAAGCTAGAACCGGTCATGCGACTCAGCTAAGTGTGGGGAAACACTGGCTCTAGACTCCAGGTGAGCATCGCAGGGCAGGGCGGAGGTGAAGAATACCACCTTGGAGAGAGGGGGTGGCATAGACCGGTGGCATTTTGGAGAAGCATCCTTGTGGGGGGTTTCATTTGAGATCTCCCAGGCAGGTCAACCAGCAGCTATCGCTCACCACCCCCAGGGTCATTTGCCCTTCTGAAGCACAGTAAGGCCGGGAATAGTTGGGAAGGTAAAGAGAAACCAATAAGACCACTTGTGGCCATGGTTACTGTTTGAGAAGTCAAAATTAAAATGCAGACTTCTGTGTCCCCAGGAGTCAAATGCATAAAGCCTCTCTTTTCAGAAGAAAGGTCAAGTTGACCCGTTCTCCAGGCAAACTGAATTAAAATTCCCTCTCACTCTCAGCTGCAAGGCCAGTTGGCCATGACTTGCGTGGAAACCATTTCTAAGTGTTTGTGAAACTATTTGCCCTCCCTGTGGCTGCTGGATTATTTATACACACTGTCACCAAGTGAAGTCTTCCCCCTTTCTCCAAGTAGGTCTCAATTGACACCTTATTACCCTTCTCCCCATCCCCAAAACCACGAACGATTTACTTAGTCCTTTGAGCCCTTATAGCTTGTATTTGTATATTTCTTGAGAGCCTCTTCCTCTCCTTTTAGTTCATTGTTAAGGAAACAGATGCTGACACTCCCATTGTCTGGGTTCAAATCCTAGTTCCACTACTGCATAATCGTGTCGCCTGGTACAAATATCAGCTATAACTGGTACCTACATTATTGTTTTGTTGTGAGGATTTAAGAAAATGAATAGATGCAAAGGGCTTAGGGCTATGGCTGGCATGTAGCCAATCACTGTATAAAGATAGGCAACCCTGATTCTTGAAGTTAAGAACAATATTGTATTGACAAAGCAATAGAAAAGTTCCTTGCACATAGTTAGTCTTCCCTAAACATTTGTTTTTTTCATTATTCTGCAAACATCTAGTAACTACTGTGTACAAGGCACAGTTGCAGGCATTGGGATACCACAGTGAATACAACAAAGACCCTCAGTTATTGGCTTTCTATCTAGAAGGCAGAGACTGACAATAAATCAAGGAATCAGAAGTGATCTGCTGGGGAGATCACTTTTATATAGGGGGTACAGGAGGGCTTTATGAAAGAGGCAACAGTTAAGTGGAATCCTGATGAAAGTGAGGAGCCAGCCGTGGACATCTCAAGGGGAAAAGAACTTCCAAGCAAAGAGAACAGCAAGAACTAACATAAGAACAGCATGTTTGCAGGGCAGCTAGGAGGCTGACAGGGCTGAAGTACATTGAGAGAAGGAAAGGGTAACAGGAGAGAGAGTCAGAGAGGATGGGATCATATGCAGTGTAAACGTTTATTGAATTTTGTCTGCATACTTTTACAGGCAATGCATTCTTTCCACTTGCCAGCTTCCTTATAACAAGTCTTTTCTCTGCCCATTCTATCAGATTTAATCATTCGATTCTGTCACATGCCACCTTCTCCCTCTTCTGCTGACTTCTCATAGCAAACTTCCAACTTACTGACCAACTACTTCTTTCTCTTTTTCTGTAACTAGCAGTCTTTCCAGAAACCACCCACAACTTTGAATCACTAATACTTGTCCAACTCAAAATTTTATCTTCTATATGATGACTTCTAAAGCTAAAGCTACCTGAGCATGCTGGTTTGGATTCTGCAGCCTGGGTTGGAATTCCAGTTCCAACTGTGAACAAGCTGTATGTTTGAGGACTAATAACCTGCCTTAATTTTCTTACTCTAAAATGAAGAAAATAATAGTGTCAGCCGGGCAAGGTGGCTCACGCCTGTAATCCCAACACTTTGGGAGGCCGAGATGAGGGGATCGCCTGAGGTCAGGAGTTCGAGACCAGCCTGGTCAACATGGTGAAACCCAGTCTCTACTAACGATACAAAAATTAGCTAGGTGTGGTGGCACATGCCTATAATCCCAGCTACTCAAGAGGCTGAGGCAGGAGAATTGCTTGAACCTGGGAGGCGGAGGTTGCAATGAGCCGAGATCATGCTGTTGCACTCCAGCCTGGGCAACGGTGCAAGACTACGTCTCAAAAAACAAAAAAAGGAAAGGAAAGGGGAGGGGACGGTCTACTTAACTGTTGGGAAAGATTGATTCTATGAGGTAGCATATGTAGTGTTTAGGATGGCTCCTGGCACATAGAGTCAGTAAGGGCTACCATCGTAACAGTTATCACCATTATCATCATCATCATATTTTGTCATGATGAACTCAAAGAAGAAATGGCACCACTATATTCGATAACAGGTCTAAGCAACCTTCCCTCACAGTGTGGGAGGTAATACACAACTCCTTCTTCATCTCCAAAATATGCAGAACATTTTGTTGGACCAAACTACCTTTCAAATCTTATCCAATAAGTATCTGCCCATGTTGGCCCTACTAAATGTTTACCCCTTGACTAATTATAAAGAAGACAACCAAATCATGTAAAGTAGACACTATGCTGAAGAAGTTTGTAATATATTAATATATAAATATGTATTGTATTATATATTATATAATTTATATATTATATAATATAATTAATATATAATACTACATTAATATATTTCCAAAATATTCACATGGGATTTTATCTACTATAAATTCCAAGTCCAGACCTTTTTACTTGGATTCTTAGTCATTGTCAAACATCACAGAATAATTATCTTTTTACTGCCGCATTTACCATTATTTTTGATATTTGGGACCGAAAGTCCAGGATGTCTCTGTCTTGCTTGTACTATCTCTTTATTGGCTCTTTACGTACTTCAAATGGTTATAGAGAAGAGCTTCACAGGCCACAGCGTGCTGTGCCAGCATCTTATTACTCCTCCGAGGCTGTAGCAATCCTAGCCCCTCTTCCCATCCTCAAGACACATACACAGATTTCCACCTTCTCTGACTAACCCTAGATTACTCTCTGTATAGCATGGATGCATATTTTTCCCTCAAGGAACCATATTAAAAATTGAGTGCAGAAACAGAAGACTCACCATGTGCCAGCCATGAATCTCAGACTTTATGAACATTATTTCATTTAATCTTTACAAAGCCCTGGGAGATAAGTACTGTTATTATCCCTATTTAACTAGTGAAGAAATTAAGCCTCAGAGAAGGGAACTGGTTTGCCAGTTTTATAATAGTAATCAGTATCTCTGGGCCTTGAATCCGACAGTCTGACTCAAGAGCCCCCAAATTTAATTACTACACTGTACTGTCACCTTGGACTAGAATTTTGATGCTCTAGACTCTGACATTGCCTGGTTCTACGTCCTCCAGAAAGTCACTGATCATTTCTAAGCTTCAGTTCCTCTTCTGTAAAAAGGGGAATTTCTGCCTCACAAGGTCATTGTCAGGATCAAGTCAGGGAATGAAAGTGAAAGCTATATGTAAACAATGGAATGTTATAGAAGCAACCAGGATTACTTTTATTGTTTTCTGATTTTGTATTGCCTATTACCTTTATTGCTTTGTCTTTTCCGAAAGCCCCTTACATTTTGGCACAATTCTCCCTGGCTCACCATAACTTAGGCAGTAATAGTAAAACTTCTATTATTTCATAATTGTTGAGCACTTACACTATGCATCTATGCACTGTGTTAAAAACTCTATGTCATTGTATGAATTCGTTCTAAGAAAAATCATCATATATACTTATTCTTACCCTGATTTTAAAATGAGACTGAGACTCAGAGAGGTTAAGTAGCCCAAGGACAGCCAGCTGTGAAGAGGTGCAGCTGAGATTTGAACTCACATTTATCTGATTAAAACACGAGAGCTTCCAATTGCTTCTTGATGGTTCTCAAACTTTAACATACATAATAATCACCTAAACTGTTAGATTAAAAACTCCTCTGCTACAGCCTATGGATGGATTCACTGAGTTTGGCGGGGAGGTCTTAGAATATAATTTATTTTTTAATAGACTTTTAGAGCACTTTCTGGTTTTCAAAAAAAAAAAAAATGAGCATACAGAGTTCCCGTGTACCCCCTCTCCAGGAACCCCTCCCCGAGTTTTCCCATTGTTAACATCTGGTATTAGTGTGGTACGTTTTTACAATTGAGCCAATGATACATTATTTTTAACTGAAGTCCATCGTTTAGATAGGAAGCCTAATCTTAGAGGAAGAAGTGGCCTTAGAGGAAGAGGAAAAAAGAGAAATCACTCAGAAGAAAGGCCATGTGAGGACACAGCAGCCATCTGCAAGCCAGGAAGACAGCCTTCAGTGTAAACAGAACTCTACTGACACCTTAATCTTGGACTTCCAGCCTGCAGAACTGTGGGAAGGTAAACTTCTGTTGTTTAAACCACATAGCCTGTAGTATTTTGTTGTGGTAGCCCAAGCAGACTAATACATACCCTAAGATCATACTTTGAGAAATCACTACTCTACACTAGAGGCAAGAAAGTGTGGTCTGAAATCCACCAACATCTGCATCACCTGTGAGCTTGTCAGGCATTCAGAATCTGGGGCCCTGTCTCAGATCTCCTTCATCACTATCATCATTTTAACAACATCCTCAGGTGGTTCCAGGTAAGCATATTACAATGTGAGAAGGCTGGGCATGGTAGCTCATGCCTGTAATCCCAGCACTTTGGGAGGCTGAGGTAGGAAGGCTGATTGAGCTCAGGAGTTTGAGACCAGTCTGGTCAACATAGTAAACCCTGTCTCTACAAATAATTCAAAAATAATTGGCCAGGCGTAATGGCTTACACCTGTGCATAGTGGCGCCCAGCTACTCAAGAGACTGAGAGAGGAGGATTGCCTGAGCCCAGGAGGTCGAGGCTGCAGTGAGCTATGATGGCACCACTGCACTCCAGCCTAGGTAACAGAGTGAAAAACCCTGCCTTAAAAAAAAAAAAGTGGGAAGTCCTGCTCAACAGCACACTGGACACAGCTTTGTGCTGTTTACTTATTTACCTTAGGCTCCCTTGCAGCCATGCAGAGCCCACTGAGCAGAAGAGGCTAGTGTTACAATCAGCTCAGTGTACTTTACCCTAATGAGACAATCCAGCTTCACTTTTATGCCAGCCCTACTCACGTGAATGGAATCACTTATTATCTCATTAGGTTTCAACCTAACCTTGATCATTGGACTACACTTGCAAATTTATGATTCTTAATCTCTTGTATTATAATAATCAGGTAAAATAATCTCCTTTGAGATCCTAACATTAAAGGAAATATTAATATGCCATAATGAAACAAAAATGAGGTAAACATTTTAGAGCTGCCAAGTTAATTCCAACCTTCCTGTGGGATTTTTATATTCAATTCCTCATCTGATCTTTACAACTCTGAAAAGTTGACAGCTCAAATTTTATAATCCCCATTTTGCAGAAGAAGAAACTGAAGCCCGTGGAGATTAAGAGACTTATTTTCACAAGACACGTGGGATGCAGCCAGGTCACAAACCTTCATCGTCTGATATCTTTCAGCACTTGCTTCTATAAGGTTTGCCAAGTTTCTAAAAGCTGGAATACTGCCAAATGAAGTGTAAGTCTCTAAGCATCAAAATTCAGGTTTGCCTTGCAACTTTGTCTTGCAGGATGAGTCCATATTACAAATGTAAGTCATTATTTCACTTCACTGCAATGACCCCTGACTTGCGGACTTCAGGAAATCCACTGGCTACATTCTGTAGGTAGCAGGAGAGGTGATTAGAGGATTCGCTTCAGAATGGAGATTTAGTTTAACCAGACAGCTCTGCAAAAACTTAAATATCATTAACGAGGTTAATGCCGAAAATATTTTACCTGAATTCCGTATCTCTAGGTTCTATACTTAAATATGTTATAATTAGTAGATAGGTTCATTAAATTCCAAATCACTTTATATCTTTCATCCTTGTATTTTCTTTAATTGCTCATTTTCCTGCATGAAGACTAAAAGTCAATCCTTGAATAGTAAGAATTTACCGGTTTGTCTGCTAACAGTTTGAATAAAACTGTCCCAAAGAGATTTTGTTATGACTAAATGAATCCGTTTCTAGAATATTCTTTTTTGTTGTTGTTTTTGGAGACAGAGATTTGCTCTTATTACCCAGGCTGGAGTGCAATGGTGCGATGTCTGCTCACTGCAACCTCCACCTCCCAGGTTCAAGTGATTCTCCTGCCTCAGCCTCCCAAGTAGCTGGGATTATAAGTGCCTGCTACCATGCCTGGCTAATTTTTTGTGGTTTTAGTAGAGACAGGGTTTCTCCATGTTGGCCAGGCTGGTCTCGAACTCCTGACCTCAGGCGATCCACCCACCTCGGCCTTCCAAAGTGCTGGGATTACAGGCATGAGCCACCGCACTGGGCCTAGAATATTCTTTTTAACCAAAAGTTGGACATAGCTGAAAGCTATTCTAAATGACTGTTTTCTTCCAAAATCTAATTGAAAGACATCAAGTCTTTGAAAAGGAAAAAAGAAATAGGAGAAATATGTATTTCTGATGCGTGCGTGGCTCAAAGCACTATATAATATTGTTGATAAGGAAGTTAATTATCTGGGTATATTTAAGCTTTATTCATTAAATTGGTACTTTGGGGAATTAATGTTTAATTTATTTTGTTTGAAAATTCATTAGTAAAATTAAAATTCTTTATACAAATTATAGGTATTATAGGAAGACTGAGAACCTATTTCTTCAGAGTAAGGTAAAAAAACAAAAATGCCACAGTCTGGGCCTAGAAAATCCAAAACTCCGTCTAACAGTCTGTCAGACTTGAATAGTGAAACTGCCGCATGTACACATTAAAATAGATGAAGAACACTCAAATTCAGGTGTTAGTTAACAACCTGCCAACAAATGAAGGAAATAATGGAAAAGAAAGACTGAGACCGTCTAAGTGTCAATGCCATTAGATTTTTTAAAGTCCAGAGTCTTTTAGATAGGTGATGTGATAAAATGGTATCAAAAAGAGAAAACCTAACTATGTTGGAAGAGTGAATACTTACAGAACAAGCACACTTGGATTTAGGGAGAGTTGGGGAACATGCAATGAAAGATACACCCCTCTTCATGGGAACAGACTCAGTTTTAAAGACACAATCACAATCAATTCACTGCACTTTCGTGAGACAACTTTGTTTCACTTTTGTGTCGGTTGTACTCATATGGATTCAACTGTTTATTGTCTCATTAGGTTTCAAGTTGTCAGTAAGAACTCAGGGATGGTGGTGGTGAGGGGACTGGGGATAAAGAAATAAGATCATGGACTACTGGATAACAAGGTCATCTGATGTGAGAAGTCATTTATATTTTATTTCCTGTGTTGATTTTTGACAATGACCTAAGAATCTTGAATCATTCGTACCACATGTCAAGCCAGGCACTGTGTCAGGAAGATGTAATAGGGGAAAAGAAAGAGTCCCTTCAAGGAGCCAGCATTCTAGTGGTAGATTTGCACAAAGAAATAAGCAACTTTAATAAGAAAAATGAATGCTTATGTAGCACTCTCTATGTATTTTGTATGTGTTAACTTATCCAATATTCATGACCCATGAGTCATATGTTAGTTTTTGCTATATAAGAAACCTCCCCCAAACGTAATGGCTTAACATAATTATTTATTTAGCTCACAGTTCTGTGGTCTGCCAATGTAGGCTGTGCTCATCTGGGATCACTCAGGCATCTGTGGCCAGCTGGCAATGATATGATCATCTTACATGTCATGCAAGTGGTTGGAGTAATGGGTACAACTGGACCATGTCTCTATCACCATCCTGATGACTAGCCTGTACTTCTTCATTTCATGGTAGCTGCAGAGTTCCCAAGAGCAGCAAGAGGGAGTAGGTGCCATGGTACAGCATTTTCCAAGCCTCTGCCTGGGACACCTTTGCTACTGTCCCATTGGCCAGAGCAAGTGACAAGACCAGCCCAGATTCAAGGGAGGAAGAAAGAGTTTAACTTTGATGGAGGAAATTACAATGGCATGTTGGAAAGGGATATGCTATAGTTTCAGTGTTTGTGTACCCCCAAATTCATATGTTGAAATCCCAACCCCTAAGGCAATGGTGTTTGAAGGTGGTCTTTTGTGAGGTTATGTGGTAATACAGGCTCTTCCTTCATAAATGGGATTAATGCCCTTATTAAAAAGAGACCAGAGGACTAACTCATTCCTTCTACCATGTAAGGACACAGTGAGAAGGAACCAACTATGAGCTAGAAATCTGGGCTTCACCAGACACTGGATCTGCTGGCACTTTGATCTTGGACTTTTCAATCTCCAGAACAGTGAGAATTAAATTTCTGTTATTTCTAAACTACTCAGTGTGTGGCATTTTGTTATAACAGCCTGAAAAATCTAAGGCAAGGTAGATACAGAGAAGGAAAGAATTTGTAGTCATTTTCTCTATCTACCCCAGGAACTATTAATATCACCGTGAGGCACAGAGAGGTTAAAGAACTTAAAGCTTAAGTTAAAGCTTATTGAGCTACTAAGTGACAAAGCCAAGATTCAAACAAGGCAGTCTGACTTCATCACCAAGAAGCTACCTACTATACTATATTGCAAATGCCACAAAGGGCTGATTCCTGTGCTGTGAGAACATATAAGAAAAGCCCTCAATTCAATCTTGGGTAATAGGGAAGCTTTCATAGATGAACCTAATGTCAATTCTGAATCCTAATGGACAAGCATGTATCAACCACTTGAGAAGGAAGAAAGAGGAGAAACATTGTCTTAAAACAGACCACATATGCAAAGTACCAGAGATTGAAAAAAAGTTTATGGTGCAGAGAGCTGCAAGTAGTTCCCTGGGCTAGAGAGCAAGTTCTGTGGCAGGAGAGGTGAGCTGTGACCAGACTGTGGCAGTCTTAAAACCAAGCTTTGAACTTAAGTTTTAATCAGAGACATCAGCAGACCACTGAAAAAATTTAGTCCAAGGAATAATAGGTTTAGATTGTGGCTTCAGATTAATCACTCTGGCAGTCATGAAAAGAATGGAATCAGGCAACATGGGGCAAACGGGTAGATTCATTTCCAAGGGTCATCCAGTGACGAAACAATAAAGTCTGATGGCCTGAAGTAAGGGAGAGGCAATGGGGATTTAAAAAAAGACACACTAGAAAGATAATTAGAAGGCAAGACATAATGACTAGTAAATGTGATGAAGGAGTCAGAATGATGATGCCCGAGTTCTGGCTGAGATGCTGCTTGGATGAGGGTACATTTCCTGAACCATGGAGGTTACAAATAAAGGCATTTCAGAGAAGGAAATGACATCTTCTCATTTGCATATGAAAATGAATATATTCAACTGTGAAATGGGAATTACCCTGGAGTTCCAGAGAGAGACTGGGTTGAAGAAATAGATCCAAATGTCATCAGTTGATAGGGTTTGAATTTGTGTCCCCACCCAAATCTCAGGTCAAATTGGAGGAGGGGCCTGGTGGGAGGTGATTGGATCATGGGGCCAGAATCCCCCTTGCTATTCTCGTGATAGTGAGTGAATTCTCACAAGATCTGATGGTTTAAAAGTGTATCACACTTCCTGTTTCACTCTCTCTCTCCTGCCACCATGTGAAGAAGGCGCTTGTTTCCCCTTCACCCTTCCACCATGATTGTAAGTTTCCTGAGGCTTCCCAGCCATGCTTCCTATATAGCCTCTGGAACGTTGAGTCAATAAAACCTCTTTTCTTCATATATTAGCCAGTCTCAGGTAGTTCTTTATAGTAGTGTGAGAACAGACTAAAAGAGTACACCAGTATACAGAAGAGTGTCTAGGGAAAGTGTATGTCCATAATACATTGCATTTAATAGGCATTTTTCTTTACCTTGAACAATTTCAAAACACTTTACATTATCTAACTAGTTTAATTTTCACGAGTCTATGAGGTAAGACTGTTATACTCATTTTACAGGTGAGAAAATTAAGGCACACTGTTATTAAGGTGCACAGTGGTAGAGCCAGCATTCAAACCTGGGTAATCTGGCTCTAGAGCTTATGCTGCTAATCATGAAGTTATACCGCTCCTCTGTACAGAATGAGGAAGGATTCTACTGCAGAATACTGCACAATACAAATACTAACTTTGGCTTACCATGGTGAACGAGGTACAAAAGTGCAGTCTTCAAAAAATGTCAGTTGGTGAGAAATGTAGGGTTGTATCATTGTGAAGTAGCTGGGAAAAAATACACACTCATTCATTATGCACAATCACACACACAAAAAAAACACAAAATAGTGAAAATTACATTACAATAACAGATAATACACTAAACTGAAAAAGTCCCAAATAACCCCAAAGCGGAGGGCAGAAGCCCTTTTTAATTCCATCCCATTAAACCTATTGCTCCTCCATAGAAGATAATTATGTTAGTCTGCCCCACTGAAGAACCGAGAGGGGGCACAGGATTGGAGCCAATTTTTAAATGAATTTTATCAGAATTCTGGCTATCCCTGTGCCATGAAACCAAGCAAAGATAATTTTCCAAGGAGGCTTAGTTACAAGAGGTAACAAGATGTCAAGGACACCAAAACCTGAAATAACTTATTGATAGTATTTAGGAATAAGGATATCATTAATCACCTTCCTACAAGGATTAGCAAGAAATTCCTTGTTCATATATTTAAGATTGCGCTCTGAAAGTTAACATTGTTTTATTTTCCAGGCTATCATTGTGTATAATTGGTATTTCCAGATAATACTAAGGGCTACCGTTTTTTGAGCACCTATCATATGCCAAGTTCTGTAATTGGCACTTCTTATTATGTCTGACAACTACCTACAATGTAGCAGATTTCCTTTCCATTTGACAAGTGAAGATACCCAGGCTTAGAGCAGTTATCTGAAATCATAAGTCTGATCATTGACAAAACTAACATGCTGCTTCAAAACTCACCAGGTTCACAGACTTTGTTTTTTGTTTAGTTTTGTTTATTCACTACACTCTGCAGTCCCCCTTGCATTCCTATGAGAAAAGAAGGAATGTCCTAAACCATATCTGTTGATTCAAGGATCTCATTTTTATCAATTTTTTTCCAATGTGGGCTGCCTTCACAATTTTGGCTGGTGTTTCTAAAGCATAGACATTCAAGCATTCTCTGCCTTTGCTTGTGGAG